ATATATATATATATATATATATATATATATATATATATATATATATATATATACGAATTTTCGTCGTTTGCGTCGATTTTGAGTGTCAAGTTGAATAAACACGGGTAAAATTATAAACTTTTACAGCCTGAGAAGAATTTTCAGGCTCTCCAAGGAGTGCACAAAATTGTTTGTTCTTTATTTATGAAATTTCTTGATCTGTTTATTGAAATCTTATTGTCACTCATGCTACCATTAGCAAATAGCCGCGTTTATGGCCTTCCTACTGAGCGGGGGAAATAAGAACAACAGATAGGCTTAAAAATTTACCGTTTTTCATTACTTATCTCACACGTGACACATTGATACTTTCGACATTGCTCATTATTTTAGCAGCTTGCATGCAGGACACGTGACACATTTAAAGAATACGTAGAGCACTTCTTCCAAGCTTACATAGCCTCGTCTAAACATTCAGGGGACCGGAAGAATTAATTCTCGAAAGTTATGAAAACCCAAAGTCATCAATGGCTTTTATAAAATATTTGTCAAAACAGAGAAGCACAAATGTGTTTACAATACTCTTATCTACACACACCTATCAACCAATGAGAGCGCGTGAACTATCTTAAATCTGATCTTTTTTTTCAAATGAGCTTAGTGAATAGTCTAGTTAACTACTTCTCTTTGTATCGCAAGCGTTAGATCGCCCGGCCGATATCTGGGAGGCCACGGATTCGATTTTCACCGTCGAGAACGCAGATTTTTTTTCTCTGTCCCTCGTTCGAGTCATATTGAACATCCACCTTTCTGGGAAAGTAAATTATCGTGAAATGTCTCCCGAAGTTTTTAGTAAAATAAGTCATTTTTGAATTCGTTTTTTTAACAAGTGTTTTTTCAAGAGTACATTTTTTTTTTGTTATGTATGGCAAGAGTCTGTCACAGATGCCATCTGGAGCTTTTATGTTATATAAGATATCATGAATTGTCCCTTAAGATTATGGCGGCATGTAAGTCGTCACGAAATGTCTCGGGGGCAGATGGTACGAGCATTACCTGGGAAAGTCTCTGGAAAATTCGAGAATTGTTGAATTTCCGAAATGTGGACCATTAAACAGGAGATGTCGGAAATTTCGGAAACAAAATATATATAATAGTGCGGAAATTTTTGGTAATGATTTTTTTAAACATTCGGGCACACCTCACGAGGTTGTCCTCTTTTGGGAAATTCTGGATTTTTCGGGTACCATTCGCCACTGGGGGGTTTCGCAAATTCAAACAGAAAACCTTCGTCTTATTGTAGTCATAGATAGAGAGATCACGAAACGTGTTCAGATCTAGAAGTCATGTCGCGCGTCAGAAGATATCCATAAAGATAAAGTTGAGTGTAATCTGTCCAGTTACCAAATTCAAATTCGACCAGGACCAGTTAAGGCTGATGTGGCTTACTCTCTAAATATTGTAATTTATTTTATTTATTTTTTACTGCCGAACATGTTAATTTGGCTTTGACTGTGGCTTTTTAGCCAATCTTTTTATTGGCTGTATTTTTGAAGGCAATATTAATTTTAGTACGTTGTTCCGGAAAGCTTCGTCTGTACGAAAGTAAAATTTAATCGTTGAAATATACAGAGAGTTTAGAAAACGATTTCGATTCTATTCTTACTAAGGTTCAAAGTACTACAAGTAATGGCTCTTCAGCACTTTATTAACGCAAGTCAAAATCAAGAAGTAATTTATTCTAATTGCCGGTTCAGTACCTGTACTGATTTCGATCATTATTTTTGCTGATGTTATAGTGCCAAGCAATAAATTAATTCACAGGTCATTGACAAAGTTGTAGCTTTCCAAAATTTGGCCGGCAGGTATTTTAATTTTTGTTTATGTGCGTACTGAGATTACGGAATGGTCAAAAAAACTTTGCCACTGCTTTGAAAAATCTAGTCAAAAATAAATGTGTCGTGGTCCTTGCGATGAGCCTGCGAATGTAACTGAAAGTATAGTTTAAAAAAATTGAAATGTTCTAATTATAGAGACAGCATACAGGCCATTTTATTAATGGTCTTTAAAAAACTCGAACGCAATGTATCTGTAGGTGATTATTTCCAGACGAATAAACCAATATCCCTTAAATTGTCACTTTCGATTCTTGGCTTTCCTGTTACAAAAGAAACTTAATGTTAAATTCTGCCTTAGAGTAATTAGAGGTTCTATAATGACTTATCTAAAAGCAGTTATTTCTTTAAAAGTGTCATGGTTCATAATGCGTTCATAACTAACATTACAACTCCATGTTTTTATAGGTTCTTAACTAACAACATTTCTTTCTTATCTTGACAAGTGAACTTGTAATTCCAACTGGTTTTCTTACATACTTTGTGCCATTTTTAAAACAGAGCATGGTGACGTCTGGAGACATCGTGTTAACCTTTTGTTTTGCCTCTCTGGTGTTGGCTGGTATAGTGGGAAACATTTTAGTCTCTTTAGTCATCCTCTTAAACAAGACCATGCAGACGCCCATTAACTATCTCCTTTTAAACTTGGCCGTGGCGGACATCATAACCGTTATCTTCATCAGTCCACAGTATATCTTTATACACGCGTTTACGCATCCAACGGGGGTGGCTGGCGATTTCCTGTGCAAGTTCATCACCGGTGGAAATCTCTCTTGGATCGGTGGTGTTGGCTCGGTGTTTTCTTTGGTCGCAATCTCGTTTGAACGCTACCAGGCAGTAACGAACCCTTACAGCCCAGACTCAAAATTTTCCATGTCCAAAGTAAAGATTCTTGTAATTTCCTGTTGGGTTTTCACCACCGTTTTCAACTTCCCACTGTTCTTCGCCATTTACTACGACAAGGAACAGAAGTTCTGTTTGGAATCTTGGCCTTCTGCGGCTTACGGTAAAGCAAACACCACCGCTTGGCTGATAGCCGTCGGAATCATCCCAGCCTCAATTATGGTATCCTTGTACTCGAGAGTCGTTTACGATTTGTGGTTCAAAAAAATCAACGGAAACACTCAACTAGCTATTCGCAAATCACGGAAAAAGGTTACGAAGGTGGTATTGATCGTCAGCGTCATTTACGCAGTGAGCTGGTTTCCACAGCTTATCTTGTACTTTCTTAGTCACTACCACCAAGCTTTCGAATTCGGAAACGTGGCATACGTCATTTCCGTTGTCATGGTAACATTCAACTCCGCAGTGAATCCTATGATATATGCTTTCCAGAGTCAGCGATTTAGACAATATTTCAAACAATTGCTTTGTTGTGGAAGAAATAGAATACATGTTGTTTTTCCACTCAGTGCACAAAAAACATATCCCAACATCACCAGCCATCTTGATAAAAGAGATACACCAGCAACAACTCTGAATGCTGAAGTGGCAGAGGAAGATACGGGTTTTAAAGACTTGTATGACGACCCGCAACAAGCTGATAGAACTGGACCTAATGCGGAATGTACAAATGCATGGGATTTGTGAATGTTTCAATGTCCAACTTTATGTCTTTGATTTTTCAAATACAAGTTTATCATTCATGTCTTATTCTATGGCTACAGGGCCCGGTTGTAATCGGTCTTCTTATTAATGTTTTATTTTGTTACATACACTCTTTTTTATATAAGAATATTGTATTTCCGGCCCTGGCTGAATAATTTGACTTTTCTGCCGATTTTAGGCTGAAAGTGTTCTTGTGAATATTCTTACGATTAAGGCAAAATATGACAGACATAACCTCTAGCAAAAATGTCATTAGCAACTAACACAATATTATGGCTGTTTTTTTTCCATTTTGGCTAGTTTTTCCGTTTAGAGAAAGGAAGTATGTTATGTGGTTTACTTCAAGCATATAACTGTAGCGTATTTACAAAATTTTCAACACACAGAGTTTCAGCCCCAGGCTTATTCTTAATAAATTTTTAAATTTCGGCCTCGATATCCTCATAAATAACTTTTTCTTTCTAAAAAAAAAGGTTAAATAACCTCCTATTAAACGAGTGCGTGGGCCGTTTTGGGGAAAATTGTCCTAGATAGTGGTACAAAAAACGTCAATATTCCCCAGTACGGCTCGAGAAAGCTAAGTTAGTCATGGAAATTGCACATTTTGAGTTTGCGGACTTTAGAAAACAAAATATACACAGCATGTAAATGGCAAAATCTGTACCAAGAAAGAACCTGCAATCCGTAGGTTTGGATTTATTTCAAGGCTACCATGCAATCTAATAATTACTTTAAGTTTTGTTCTTTGGTTTTTCTCATTCTTTTCAAAATAAAAAATAAAAATAAAACAACTAGTATTCTATTTCGCAATTCATTTTCGTTGTCATAAACTTTTGTGCTCGATGGGAGCAATTAATTTTTCCTGAAACTGGCGAAATATTAAGCCAACCATATTTTGCCATATTTTGCCATATTTTCAGATGTCAAGTATTATTTTAAATCATTAATTGTAAGGAATTATTTTTCTTTAATATCTTTTATGGATTTCTTCAATTTAACACTGAATGATTTTGAAACACTCACTAACAAAACTCGTTACCTATCTCGATCTCATCCCATTTATCAGCTATTAATTTTGCGGATCTCAGATCTCAGTTTTCACTTGAAAACAAGCTCGCAAACTTTAAACGAGGTACTGTTCATTTGAAAAAACCGCAGTCTCAACTGGACTGTTTAAAAAACTACAGCAAACTCTAGCTTTACCCAATCAACAGCACCGAACTTCGGAGCCAACGCTAATCTATGGACCTTGCTTTGTCCAAAGGAGATCAGTGCAAAAAGATTAAAATCATTTTCCATAGGTAAAGAATGCTACATCTTAAGATCTTGTCCTTTTACTTACGTCATCAGAATATATGACAAACAGAGCCAATATACCAGTGTCATAATTCAACTCATAAATTTATCAATTTCTCACGTACGCACGTTGAACGTATTGATCCTCAAATATACGTCACCAGCCGTATAACATCAATCGGACTAAACAGTAGCAGCGGATATTTGATAGCAATTAATCGCGGTGTTCTTTAACGTTTTTTACACCGCCGCAACTTAAATATAAAAATGAAGCAGTTCGTTAGTAGTCTTTATCTATTTCGTTCCTTACAAAGTTCTTGAAGACGTTTTACTGTTTAATCCTCTAAAGAACTTTTCGCAATAAATGTAAAAATATTATATATACATATATACATTTAATGAACGCCGTACGACAAATATACAGCATTTCTCAAGTTTGCATAAATTTCCCAATATTAAAATTAATCAAGGAAAAGAAAAACTGACGTTATTATGTCTCACGCAATCCGATCGGCAAAGGCTCAATTTTTATGCAAAACAACAGAAAAATGCTTTCCTTTCGGACGCGACAGGCCGCGGGGAAGAAACAATCACT